AGCAGTTGCAAACAATGACATCACGGTGACCGTCAAAGGTACGCCACTTGAGTTGTACATTATCACTATGTTGCTGCAAGCGCTGGTAGTTCACCACCTCCCATGACATTGTGGTGTGTATACTCTGGTCCTATGCAGAGGAGATGAAGGATGACTGCATTCGTGCCGGGGAGATGCTGAACACTATGTCAGCGCCTTCAGAGCACCACAAGCTTCGGCTGTATGAAAAAATTGCCAGCCGTCCAATGCTTGCAGCCATGTTTCTTACAATGAGCCAGAGCACTAGGGAAGCGTATATGCGTGGTGAAGATGTTGGGGCTCCTTCTGAAACACAGTCTCCAGAGGCCGCTAGGGAGTGATGGAGGCAGTCATGAGTATTGGGTTAATATATTCTCTTCCTATTAAAGTTTAATGTTTGTTTGGGACAGGGGCGGCATTTGTTATAACTTGAAATAGCAACATACCAGTAATTATCATATGAGAAAATGATAGCCATTGGAGATTTCAGAAAATAGTATTAGAGTTATTCAAATATTCCTACACTATGATGAATGACACCCTAGCACTCTATCCTGGCAGGGTGCGAGTCATCCACAAAGCATTTGCAAATGCTTCTCTATGAGCATTCCCCATATCCACCAAACGCCTTGCAACCCTGGACGGCCCAGAGGCCACCATTCCAGCCCGTGGTGCAGGCTCTTGTTCCTCCTGCACATATGCATAATCTTGCCCCCCCCCCCCCCCCTCCCAAGCTCAATGAAGTTGTGCAGGATCATAGAACTAATGACAATGTCACACAGTGTGGCAAAGACACATCTGCTAACACATTATGTGTCATGTCACTATGCGTGTCTATGAATGGCTGCTCTCGATAATGCCGAATGCAAGCCGGGATAAGGGTCCCATCCACCGCCCTGATCACTCCACGGAAATGAGAGTAGTCAGGCCTGGAATTGAGCCCGTCGTCCTGGCATGCGGTTGGCATGCGCACGATATCGGGCTTCAAGGAGACGATCGCATTCTACACGGCATTGATGATAGTAGATATCTGAGAACCACTATGCTGCCAGCGTTCCTGAAGGTCCCTATTAGAGGCGGAATGTCCTACGAAGTTGAGGTATATTAGCACATGCTCTGGAATTTAATGAAACGACCGCTAGGCAAAGATATCTCTCGGTGATTAGCGCCACCAATCGATGGAAAATAGAATCCTCCATACATGGTGTGACGTGAAGCCGATCCGGGTGGCCCCTGAGCAGCTCCTTGGCGTAGGATCTACTAGGGAGCGAAGATGTGTGTTGGGGAACGCGCATATATCCTTGCACTAAACGCGGGCAACATGATGCCAAGAGCAACCTACCTAGACGAATACGATGCCTCATGATGATTTGGACGACTGCTATACGAATTTGCTGGTCTAACCGATGCGCACGTGCTGTCTCGCTGAGATAAAGCGGATCGAACGAGTTTGTCATGGCTGGCTACGTGTCCTAGAGAGAGGCTATAGAGGAGGATATGAGGGGAGGTTGTATGGGATACAAGTTAGCCCTAAAAGGCTAATGGTTTGTGCGTGGGTGCGGGACCCTAAAATTGTTGCACCAATCTGGGTAGATGTGACGAAGAAAAAAATGCCGAGGTTGCAGAGGGGCTCTCCCCTTCGGGGAAAACGCTTCCCGCAGGGCTTGTGCGGAGGGCCTTAATGGCTTGTGCGCCAACAGAACAGAGCCAAGTTATCTCCAAGGGAATCCCATCCATGGAACCTTCCCAACTGCCTTCCTCCTTGAACCTTCCAAGACATTGGCCAGAGGATCCATCCTTTGCCTCCACTGAGGAAGCTTCCAACAACCCCTTTCCAAGGAACCTTTTCTTACTCCTTATTCCCAACGAACCTTCCCTGTTACCAGCCCATCCACCTTAATGCAAAACCCCACTACATGCATAAGAATAAAGGGTAAAACTTAGTTGAATACCAAGATCATGCATCCACAAGTACAAATCTTCTTATAAATAACCTGAGGGTAAACTTAAACCAATATACCCCACCAAGATCATGCATTTTATCATTAGAAGTTTAGTGTTTAAGTTACACGAGCACCTTCGTGTGTCACATTTCCCAAACCACGCACTACTGTACTAGCCCGAGTCAGCCTATGCTTCGAGACTAGCCCAGACCTCACTGCTAGCATCACTCTAGCTAGCTCATGTTGGAGTAATAAAAAAAGGTACTTTATGCATTCCATAAGGTGTAACCTCACCGCACCTGCTACTAGCGAAGCAACACATGTACCACTACCGCATTAGCCCATGTAGGGCACGCAGGTCAACAGTCGCGGGTCAATTATCGAGACTGTTGACCAACCTGGACCGAGCGGTTGCGAGGTGCTTTAACTGTCGCAACCGCCTCAGATGTTATTGTTGGTGCAACCTACGGTTTGCACTCGGCTTGTTGTCCGTGTGCGTGCATGCGTTGTTGGAGTAGGCTAGAGCTCGCTCTGGCATTTATCATGGTGTTCTTTTGTCATTTCGCCATGTCTAGAGCGAGATACACTACAGCTCAGTTTAGGTTCATTTCTTAGTTTCTAGCACAAACTGAACACACCCTAAGTTTATTTAGGGTTTCCTATATTTGCATCTCGACAATCTTGTGAGTCTATTACTTAAACCATCATCTCTAGCCATGGCTCCAAGTACTGTCTTAACATGCGTGTGTGCATGGAATGGTATGAGGGCATGGGATAATACATATTTCATGCTTATAATAGTGTGTGAATGTTGAGTCATGATGTCGAATGTGTGTGTTGAGTCAATAGCGAGTCATCGCTAGTCGTGTGTCTCGCGCGGTTCCTATTTCGTCGTTTGTGTGTGTCGCGCGGTTTTCTGTTTAGTCGTGTGTGGAACGTTCGGCGTGTCGCAAGTGTGTGCAGCAGACCCATCAAGAACTCAAGGATGAGTTTGTGATGAAGAACCCGAGCCTTGATGTCAAGACTCAAGTAATCTCGAAGCCCGCAAAAGAATATACCTCAAGATAATGCAAATAGTTACATTACTTTGTGTAGTGTAACATTTCACTCGGTGTAGGCCCTTCTGGTGGGTAGTTTCGAGACCCTTCTTGGTTGGGGACAGTGTGGCACTATTCCGCATCACTGTACCTCGGCTCAGCTGGGGGTCATTCCCAACTCGTAACTCTTCCTATCTTGTGTTTCTAAGACTATAGTGGCTGCCATAGTGCCGTTCGTTCAAACCGGCGCTGTGTTGTCAATTCTTAATGAAATCGTGCGATCTAAATTGCCTATTGTAGGCGACTTTAAGACGCTCCAGATCCAAGTTGAATCCGATCATTTCAAGCTCTGACCGGAACGCTATGAACGTTTGAAGCCGCTGTGCAGAAATCCGACTGTGCACTCTATCTTTAGTTTTAGGCACATTGAAGCATATTGTGACTATAACGGTTACGAGCATCAACGAGGCAACCATAGGAATAGCATTTGTCTATATTACTGTAGCGATACGTGTATCACTGTTAATAAGGGAATGTACCCTTAGTCAAACTTATATGCTATAGTCTGTGTAGGCTGTAGTGGGGTAGACAATATGGGGTACAACATTTCTAGGTTTTCCTACTTGTACCCACCTCTTTCCTAGTTCATTCATTCCTCATTTTTCACATGGTATAGAGCAGGTTCCCTCGTGGGAACGCTTCTCAGGGCCCACCACTGAACTCGATTATTTTTTCTCCTGCCCGAGGCGCGCCCCATAGGCCGCCCTCACGTCGCGCTCCCTTAGTGGCCCCTCTCACGGCCCCTCGTGCCCCCCCCTTGGCGGCCCCGTCGCCGCCCTTTGCGGCCCTGTCGCCGCCCCTCTAGGCCCCTCGCGGCCCCTTCGCGGCCCCGTCGCCGCCCCTAGCGGCCCCGTCGCCGCCCCTCTAGGCCCCTCGCGGCCCCTTCGCGGCCCCGTCGCCGCCCCTAGCGGCCCCGTCGCCGCCCCTCTAGGCCCCTCACGGCCCCTTCGCAGCCCCGTCGCTGCCCCTCTCGGCCCCGTCGCCGCCCCTCTAAGCCCCTCGCGGCCCCTCTGCGGCCTCGTTGCCGCCCCTATCGGCCCCGACGCCGCCCCTAGCGGCCCCGTCGCCGCCCTTCGCGGCCACCACGCCGCCCCTAGCGGCCCTGTCGCCGCCCTTCGCGGCCCCATCGCCGCCTCTAGCGGCCCCATCGCTGCCCTCTAGCGGCCCCATCGCCGCCCTTATCGGCCCCTTCAGCCGCCCACCAGCCCAGCCGCCCCGCCGCCGAGCCGCCAAGCAGCCGAGCCGCCCAGCAGCCGAGCCGCCCGGCAGCCGAGCCACCGAGCCGCCCAGCAGCCGAGCCGCCCAGCAGCCGAGCCGCCAAGCCACCGAGCCGCCGAGCCGCCGAGCCGCCCAGCAGCCGAGCCGCCCAGCCGCCGAGCCACCGAGCCGCCATCGAGCCGCCACTGTTAGCACCGGCCCTACCCGCCCGGACTAGTGAGAGCACTCCCTGCTAGACTACTGCTATCATAGCTACGCCTAGTGTCCTTACCTTTGATGCTGAGGGTCGTGCTGTTGACTTTGAGGTATGGATCGATGACCTCCAGCTCTTCCTCCAGTGCGATAGGGCAGACGGACTCTCCTTGTTTGATCTCACCTCTGGTGCTTCTCCTGCCCTACGTGCTACTGCTGACAGCACTGTTCGCTCACAGTGAGCGACACGCGATGCTGCTGCCCGTCTTGCTGTGTGTCGCCACTTACCGACCGCTGAGCGTGCGCACTTTAGTCAGTACAAGAGTGCTAAGACCTTGTACGACGCTGTAGTTGCACGCTACTCTTCCCCTGCCACTACTGCTCTTAGCCGCCTCATGCTGCCGTACCTTTTCCCTAACCTTGCTGCCTTTCCCACTGTCGCTGACCTCATTACGCACCTTCGCACTAATGACACTCGCTACCGCGCTGCGCTTCCTGCTGAGTTTTGTGCCAAGAACCCCCCCCCCCCCCCATGTACATCACCCTCTACTACATAGTCACCCGGCTCCCTGACTCCCTTCGCTTAGTCAGGGACCACTTCCTCTCAGTTTGCCCCACCACACTCACCGTTGACCTCCTCGAGGAGCGCCTCCTAGCAGCAGAGAAGAGCATAGTCGCTGTAGGAGCCTCTCGTGGTGACCCTCGCACCCCCGTCTTTGAGGGGTGTTCCCCCTCCCCCCTCTTGCCCTCTGTTGCTTCTGCTGCTGCGGCCGACCTCGTTGGCTTCGAGTCGGTCGGCGCTGCGTCTGCCCCTAGTGGGAGACGCCGTACCGGCAAGGGCTTGGGGGGCAAGGGCGCTGGAGGGGCTGGCGGGGGCGGTGGTGGTGGAGGCAGTGGAGGGGGTGGGGTTGGTGGTGGGAGTGGTGGCGGGGGTGGAGGTGTCGGTGGCAGCAATGGAGGCGGAGGAGGCGGCGGCGGTGGCGGAGGGAGCGGAGGCGGTGGTAATGGCGGAGGCAGCGGAGGTGGCGGAGGCGGCGGCGGCGGCGGTGGAGCTGGTCGTGACTCTACGCAGAGGAGTGGTTCCGGTGGTGGTCCGCGCCAACAGCAGCAGCGCAGTCGTGAGACCCCGTCCCCCCAGCAGCTTCGTGAGTGGTACACTGGGCGTCAGCGAGGTGGGGGTACTGGTCCCTGCACCTACGTCCTCCGTACCGGCGACCGCGCTGGTGAGCTGTGCGGGGGACCGCACTCCACCCAGCGCTGCTTCGGCCGCCTGACGGACGCGTGGCGTCACCAGTTCCCTGACGCCACTGAGATCCCTCGCTGGGGAGAACTGTCTAGGGCGGGGGTTGCTATCTTTGATTTTGATTATGATGCTATTCTTGCTGCCATGTATGCTAAGTCTACTAGTGATGAGGGTGACTGTTACCTGTGTGTTCCGCCTGAACCAGGCATTGAGGCTGCTGCTCTAGGTGCTGGTGAGGCTGCTGCTCTAGGTGCTAGTGCGTCTGCTGCCCCAGGTGCTGGTGAGTCTGCTCTCTCAGGTACCACATCGGCTCAGGCCTTACACACCTTCACCCTTGACTCGGGTGCTTCCCGCTCCTTCTTTAGAGACCGCACTACGCTTACGCCGCTTAGTCGGCCGGTTGCGGTCTCCCTGGCGGTTCCCTCTGGGGGTTTTGTCCTTGCTCACTTCTCCACTGTCTTACCGTGTCCGCCAGCCCCCTCTGGCACCCTGTCAGGTCTCTACCTCCCTTCGTTCTCTACGAACTTGGTGAGTGGAGCTGATCTACACAATAGGGGGGTGGACCAGTTCACTCCTGCGAGTCAGCGGGTGACCCACTGTACGTGTGCTCGGACGGGCCGACACTTGGCCACGTTTACCCGTCGACCGGGGTCGAGCCTGTACACACTGACTAATGAGTCTCCTCCGGTTGCTGAATCTGGTCAAGTAGCTGCGTCGAGTCAGGTGTTTGCAGCAGCGTCCAGGTCTGGTCCTGAGTATGCTCCCTGCTCGTGTCATCTCCTGTCCCACCAGACTCTCCTTTGGCACCACCGCCTTGGTCACCCCTCCCTGCCTCGTCTCCGAGGCATGGCCTCCCGTGTCCTTGTCTCTGGTCTCCCCCGGTCCCTCCCTCCCCTCCCTCCGGGGCCTGCCCCTACCTGCGGTCCCTGCGTCGAGGGGCGGCAACGCGCCGCCCCGCACTCCTCCGAGTTTCCTCCGACAGAGGCTCCGCTGCAGACTCTTCACATGGACGTGTGGGGCCCCGCCCGCGTCCGTGGCCAAGGTCACGAGCGTTACTTCCTGTTGGTGGTTGACGACTGTCAGAATATTATTCTTATGTTCTAGCCTGTAGTGGGGTGCTCTATAGCGAGTACAACCCTTCTAGGGTTTGCTATTTGTATCCCCATTTCTGCTAGTTCGTTCCTCTTTCTTTCTTCAAACTTTGTCATGCTATCAGAGCAGGTCGATCCCTTTGGATCGATCTTGTGGGTGGGTTACCACCTCGCTTCCGCTACTACCTTTCCCTTCCCGCCGTGCGCCCCGAGGCGCGCGGCGGTTTTCTGCCCGCCGTGCGCCCCGAGGCGCGCGGCGGTTCATTGCCCGCTGTGCGCCCCGAGGCGCGCGGCGGGCTTCTCCCCTACGTCGCGGCCCCGCCCCGATCGTTGCGGCCCCGCCCCTCGACGCGGCCCCGCTCTACGTCGCGGCCCCGCCCTGGCCCGTCGCCGCCCGTGCGCCTGCCCGGCTCGGCCCCGCCCTTCGTCGCGGCCCCGCCCCGGCCCGTCGCCGCCCGTGCGCCTGCCCGGCTCGGCCCCGCCCTACGTCGCGGCCCCGCCCCGCTCGTCGCGGCCCCGCCCCTTGTCGCGGCCCCGCCCTCCAACCAGGCCCGTTGTGGGCCCCTTTCACCACACCGCCTCCCCCCCCCCCCCCCCTGCCATTTCCCGTCGTCCGTCGTGGCGACCTGAGGGGCGAGCTGTGGGGTGGCGGGTATGGGGGTGGCCGGTGTGCCTTCCTCCCTTTCTCCTCCTCCTCCTTCGTCTCCCACTGCTGCAGCTGTCGCTGAGGGGGGTGGTTGTGTGGGAGACTGGGTTTAGGGTTTAAGTGGGGTGCGTGGGAGTGGAGCTAGCGGTGTAGCAGTGGGTGTGTATGAGGGGGGTGGGACTGTGTGTGGGAGGTTGAGTGGAGGTTGCCAGTTTGTCGTCCGCAGCACCTGTAGTCCGGGGCGCTGTCCCGGTAGCCCAGTGAGCTTGTCGCTGAGCCGGTCGCCTGTGGGTCCGTTGCCCGTCTGCCGCTACTTGAGCCGCGGGGCCTGTTACTCCCGTAGTCCGGGGCGCTGTCCCGGTAGCCACTGTGCTCGCCACTCCTGTTGCCCGTGTGTCTGCAGCTTCAGCCGCCGCCTTCTATCTCCTCTCCTCTCACTCTCCCTCCTCCTCCTCACTTGCCCGTTGTGACCACTGCTAGCTTTGCTCATAATTGTTAACTTTGAACTATTTCTTCTTGACCTTGTGCTCAGAATGCGTGGTGACATTGTGATCCACCCTGAGCTTGTACTGTTTTGCCTGCTCTGCTGATTACACCCCACTTTGGCTATGGGGGTGTGTCAGAATATTATTCTTATGTTCTAGCCTGTAGTGGGGTGCTCTATAGCGAGTACAACCCTTCTAGGGTTTGCTATTTGTATCCCCATTTCTGCTAGTTCATTCCTCTTTCTTTCTTCAAACTTTGTCAAAGAGACACTCGTGCACAGACCTGGGTGAACTGCGCAGCTACCTTGGCTTGCAGATCACTCGGGACAGAGCACGCCGCACCATTACCTTGACTCAGTCACACATGGTGCAGCAGGTCCTTCAGCGCTTCGGCTTCACGTACTCCTTGCCTCAGGCCACTCCTCTGTCTATTCGCCACTCGCTCTCAGCTCTGCCTTCGGATGAGTCCGTAGAGTCGAGTGGCCCGTGTTGAAATGTATTTGTATACTTTCATATAAATGCCTACAGTAGCCTAGTGTAGTTATCTTAGTTTCCTGCTAGGTGGTGTACCATTTGCCTTTCTTCATTCTTGCCTATTTGTACCCTTCAACCTATAGTGAAACCCCATTCTCTCGATACTTTTCACTCTACTCAAACTCACTCGAACTTCTCACTAGCTATGGCTCCTTTAGTCTAGCTAAGCTTTTGACAGCCCGTACCCAGAGCTTGTTGGCTGCCTCATGTACCTGATGACCTGCACACGACCTGGCCTTGCATACCGTCTGAGCATTCTTGCACGCTATGTTGCTCCTGGGAGACACCGACCAGAGCACATGGCTGCAACGAAGAGGGTGTTGCGCTACCTGTGCAGTACGTCGGGCATGGGGCTAGTGCTTGGAGGGCGGAGTCCAGTGGTCCTTACAGGGCACGCGGACGCTTCTTGGGCTGACGACCAGGCTACGCAGCGGTCGTCACAGGGTTACACCTTCAGTCTTGGTTCCGGCTCTGTCTCGTGGCGGGCTACTCGCTCGTCTTCGGTTCTCAGCTCCAGTTGTGAGGCTGAGATCTACGCTGGGGCCATGGCTGCACAGGAGCTTCGCTGGCTCACCTACCTGCTGACTGACCTTGGAGAGCCGCCTCGTTCTCCTCCAGTGCTGTACGTAGACAACAAGGCCATGCTGGCCTTGTGTCGAGAGCAGCGTCTGGAGCACAGAACGAAGCACATTGCTCTTCGCTACTTCCTTGCTCGTGAGCTGCAGCAGCGTGGACAGTTGCGGCTTGCGTACGTGGCCTCTGAGGCCAACACTGCTGATGTGTTCACCAAGGCACTCGCGCCTTGTGACCATCAGCGCCTCTGCACCCAGCTGGGTCTTGTGCCTGTCTTGCCTCACTTGCTCTCCTCTTGACTTTACTTGTACTGTGACATATATATACCTGCTCTTGCTTGTCTAGTTTTATATATATATGTCTGTACTCCTGCATGTGAACTGGCCTCTGGCCCTGCTCTTGTGCTCGGACTGTGTGGTGACGTTGTGATCCACCCTGAGCTTGCTCTGCTTTGCTTTACTTGACTGGTCTTGTGACCCCTTGTTCTCCCCCACTTTGCCTATGGGGGTGTGTCAGATTTATATGACATAGTTGCTGTAGGCTATAGTGGGGTAGCACATATGGGGTACAGGGTTTCTAGGGTTGTATTTGTACCCAATCTTTTCTTAGTCATTTCATTTCTGTTCACTTCTTTCATACGTAAGGCTTAGGAGCCATGGTAAGTTGGGTAGGAGCGATTGAGCTCGAGTGAGTTTAGGAAAGTCGAGAGGTTTCAACAAAAGAGGGGTTTCACTATAGAGCGAGCAGTACAAATAGGCAAGAAGAAAGGTGCACCACCAAACAGAACATTATATAACTACAGTAGTCTACACTACAGGCAGTTACAAAACAATATATAGAAATATATATTATTCTTGACACAGATTTCTTGGCTGGTAACTTCGCGTTCCAACTGAACTGTACGCTGTACAAGTAGGTAATTGACTTAGCCAAAACAGAACTAACTGCCCACATCTACTCCATAAAATGCGCATTTATGTTTATAATAGCAGCGTTTACAATTCCGCACGTTCAAACCTGCTATTGGGTAACCTGTAAATAAAAATCGAATGCATGACCCATCAAATAAACCCCACATTCAAAACACGTATACACAACGTCAAACCGGAAAGCTATCAGAATGATAAAAATTGTGAAACATAGTATTTTACTCTACTGAACTTCTATTTACTAATCTTAAGAACTGGAGCTAAATCAAGTGACGTTGTGTTTGATGTTGTGCTTGACGTTGTGATCTTCGTAATTTGATTTAGCTCTAGTTCTCAAGATTAGTAAATAGAAGTCCGGTAGAGTAAAATACTATGTTTTATCATATTTATCACTATAATAGATTTCCGGTTTGACGTTGTGTGTAATGCATTCGATTTTTATTTGCATGTTACCCAATAGCAGGTTTGAACATGCGGAATTGTAAACGCCACTAGTATTAACAGAAATGCGCATTTTGTCAAGTACATGTGGGCAGTCAGTTTCTTTTTCGCTGAGTCAATTACCTACTTGTACGGTGTATAGTTTGGTTGGAACGCGAAGTTACCAGCCAGGAAATCTGGATGCACTGCTCATTACCATTCAGGCAATAATGTTGACCATCGCGGCATGCTGGTTACCACAGTGGCGATGAGAGTATACCTTTGTTACGATCTGGACACGTGGCCAACTTTGCGTGCGATTGAGCTCAATTTCTGTTACTGCGGAGGTATTTACCCGATTTGATTTCTCTTTGCTGCACATCGCACTCTGGGTCAATCGCCATTGGTTTTCCCATAAACCATTTCCGTGATCTACGGAAACTGCTTGAAAGACCTCGTCTTGAAACGTGGGGTGGAGGAGACACAACTGGCTGCACTTTACAGTAACAAGTACGGAACAGTGATTGTTCATTCTGTTGAGGGTCCATCTGTTCCTCTGTACCGCACTGTAACAGCCTGGGATTGAGCAAAACACATGTAGTGGAAGGAACCTGACTCGACCAATTGAAAGCACGTCACTTGGCGGGCGATGCGGCTGTCGCCTGTCGTTGACGAAATTCGACCAATCGAAAAACAACCTCTGCAATGCTGTTCCGTGTTCTTGGTGCTTCGCTGGCTGACGGAAAAAATCGATTCAACACGTTCAGTGAGAGGAACTCCAAGCCAAGATGATGGGGTGTGCCATAATCACTCATCATCCACTCTCCAGAGTCGAAACGAGAACAGAACACTCACATGAGCAACTGAAAGCGTGTACAAAGTAATATTCTACAGTCTTCGATGTCGAAGGCCCGACGTCGGCCGACGTCGTGCTCGACGTCGATTGACGGCGAGCGCGGCAATTTGAACACAAATGCCGGCGACGAACTTCCACTCAGGACAAATGCCGGCCTAAAAAGTAGAACAATTGAATTCAGACGAATTTCGTTAATCGCATGGCGTTTTTCGTATGCAAAGACAGTGCGTTTAATGGCTGCGAAAAACCCACAGCGAATTTTACAGCTTCGTCAATTTCGAGCATGCAATTCCCGCCAAACTGTTATTTTGTCTGATGTGGTCTCGTAATCACTGTACAGATGCGCTGAATTCCGTACAGGCAGCGATACTGGCGTCAGTAATTTTTGAAACGTACTTTGAACACCAATTGGGCACCCTTCAGCTCACCTACCTTCTCCAACAACCTCGACGAACTTTGACGTCGGGAATGTGCAGCACTTTGAGCCCTCCCTAAAATTGCGACTGACCTTTATGAATATTTTGAACTTTTTTCTATCTCCCTCAAACCGTTGATGGGTCGTTCGTTCCACACATTTGGGAAGTCCCAACAACAAGATGCCTGCGCACGCGCATTCACTGCGCTATTCACGTTCTCGTGTCTCCTTGCGGAAAAGAAGTCAACCACCGGCAGGCAAGCACAACACTGTCATGCCACCACGAGGAGCAAAGCTGGAATACAAATGTTCTCGATTAGAGTCGCCGTGAAAAACACGCGCGCTGCGGGCCTTTGTGGAAAACTCACAAACCCTGGGCAAAAGGGAACTTATTGTCCCACATAAGGACAATTTCATGAAGAGCGATTTTCCTTCGCTACTATTCGTGGTTTTTTGTCACATACGTACATTCGGACTACGCTGTCTTCAACTTCTCGTCGCACGGTTCGCCGCGTTGATCAGTGTCGCAGGACAAACGGGCAGAAAAATACAAAATAAATTATTTTGAAGGCCCAAATTAAGGCAACATTTTTTGTTTTACACTGTAAGCGATATTAATGAGGTGGCATCGTCGGAGCTCGCGGGGAACCGCGCAACAGGATTTAGACACAAGAGCGTCGAAGATAAACAGACAAACACAACTTTAAAAAGTAAATAGCGAACCAAAACTTCCTTTTGTTTTGTTTTCTCTAAATGTTGGGAAGGGCCTCTAAGCCAGAACATCTGTACAGCTCTGCTAGTTCTGCTCTGCATTTCCCTCATTCACTGGAGCTCTTCAGGAACCAGTGTACGAGACCAACACAACCTTGTCGATGCTCTGATTTCGCTCAAAACTCTTCTTCTGTGTGTCACCTCCGTAATCACTTCGCAAGAACTGGCGATCATGGCAACCGACCAACGTCTTTCTCCAACGGATATGTCCGAAGCACACTTGTCAATACGGGTGGACTCACGGAACTTTTTCTACGATAACGGAGAGAACCAGGCATCCAGACGTACAACAGCTGTCGATCTTGAGACGATAGAATGCGACGAAGCAGGCAGATCGCACGCAGAAAGCGACGTCGCCGAAGGCTCCGGCGACGCATTACCCCTTATTAGCAGGTCAACGATCAACCCGCACCGGCGAAGTCCACGGCAAGATACCGGCGAAGCGTCAGATTCCACGTCAGTAAACGGCCAAGCGAACGGTTCAACGGAACCGTCAGTTCAATGTCGAATTCTTTGCGGCCCGAGCAACAAAGTCGCAGACGAATGCAGCGACGACGATTCCGACGACGCCTTCGGCGACGGCGACAGCAGTTCGCGGAAGAAGTTTGAGAAATCCCTCTCCGTAGGAAGCGCCGCGAGCGGCGGCGCCGGAAGCGGAGAGGCAAATGACGGGAAACCGAACGACATGGAGGCACCGATCCGCGTGCGACGCGTGGACTTCGACATCAGTAGCGAGAACCACTACGTGATCGTGATTCACGGCACGTTCGACGCGCCGCCACCCGGCGGAGCGCCGACGTGGTACCAACCGCCGCCTGCCGGCGAGCAGAATTTCTGCCGGAAGCTCAGCCGGCTGCTCGCGCTCGGGCCGATCGGGCAGGACGCGGTCTGGCGCGACTTGCCGTGCTCCGCGCTCCCGGGAATTCCGTACCCGTTCCACTGGGACGGCTCGAACACGCATGCGGGGCGCGTAACGGCGGCGATGAAGGTGAGGTGTGGACTCTGATTACGGCTGTGCGCGGCGAATCCGCTGCGCTGCCCAAAAATCTGAGCCTCAGCGGAGGCGGAAACCTCTTGAGTCCGTCCGATGTCATCTGCCGGTTCCACTTTTTCCCCGGTTTCGAGCGACACAAACACAAACCGTTTCCTTTTTGCTGTTACAATAATACATCCTTTCCATCTCTTGATCACCATGCCATATCTCCTCGCCTGCTGCCCCTCTTTCCTTTCAGCTGCACAACCTGATCGACCAGATCGCGCAGAATGACCCAGCGGCGCGGATCCACCTGGTGGCGCACTCGCACGGCGGGAACGTGCTGCTCAAAACCATCGAGCTGGTGAGTCTAGCTTGAAGGCGGCCTAAGTGGTGCAGATAATAAGCTATGGCGAGCCGTAGTGTACGTCGTTCATTTCGTTGCGAAAGGTTTTTGGAATTAGAGCTGGTTGCCCTAGATGCGGATTTCGCAAGCTTCACCCTCTTCCCCCACCATCTCTCACCCCCTCTCTCTTCACTCTTTTCCCTTGACCTTCACCCCCCCCCAACCCCCCGCCCAACCTCCCCCGCCCCCGTCCGCGCAGTACATGGCGGAAGCTGGCGCGGCGGCCCAAGGACGCATGAAAGCATCATTTCCCCACCAGCTTCTTCTCCTTTCTCCTCTTCAGTACACCAATCCCCCCTTCCCCCCCTCCCTCCCTCCCCTTTACCCCCCGCCTCCGCCCCCCCCCCCCCCGCGCCCAGTACATGGCGAAGCTGGCGCGGCGCCCCAAGGCGGAGTGGCACCCAGCGGTGGCGCAGCGCTTCTGGGCGGCGCACCGGCGCAGCTACGAGCTGATCAAGAAGTGGCGGCGGCTGGAGTTGTACGACTCGTGGTGGCGCTTCTTCCCCTTCCTCGTTGTGTACCGAGGGTGAGTGCGGGAATGAGGGGGATTTAGGGAGTGAGGGGGATTTAGGGAGTGAAAGGGATGTAGGGAGTGAGGGAGCGAAGGAAATGGGTGAATCAGGGAGTGAGGGGGTGAGTGAGGGAGTGAGAAAGTGAGAGAACGACAAGGCGTAAGGAAGGGAAGTGACCTAGAGGTAGTATCAGGTTGTTTGGGTGGTGCACCGGCGGAGTGGAGCTACGATTTGATCAGGAAGTGGCGGCGGCTGGAGCTGTACGACTCGTGGTGGCGCTTCTTCCCCTTCCTCGTTGTGTACCGAGAGTGAGTGCGGGAGTGAGTGAGTAGGGAGTGAGTAAGTGAGAAACGTTGAACACGGCGCAAGGGAGGGGAGCGATTGTTAAGAATTCTCAGGAAGGATTCAAGTGGCCGAGCAGTAATGACTAGGGACAGGTGGTCTGGGTAGCGCGCTGGCGCATCAATGGGCTGATCAATCAACAAGTGGCGGTAGCTGGAAGCTGCGCGGATCGTGGTGGCGCTTCTGGTGAGAGTGAGGAGTGTGGGGAGTGTAGCGTGTGAGGGAGGGAGCGAGGGCGAGTGAGTGAGTGAGTGTGTGGGGAATGGCAATGCAGAGGGTGGGAAGCTTTGTAGGGTTAGTAACCAACAGTGGCTGGACTCGCTCCTGGACGTGCGAGCCATGCACCAGCGCCACTTCCTCTACCCCTCTGCACCGGATTCCACTCCCTCTCCCTTCTCTGCCCGCATCCGCCCTCTGCCCGCATCCGCCCTCTGCCCGCTTCCGCCCACTGCCCCACTTCCCACCTCCCTATGTGCAGGTTCAACGGGCAGAGGGTGAGCGGCGTGACAGAGACCTACCCCTGCGCTCTCCACCAGTGCTTCAACTCCCTCCTCAACCTCCTAACCGTGCGCCAGCTTTGCTCATCTACCCCTATGCACTATACTCCACTCCCTCTCTCCCAACCCTACTCCCTCCCATTCTCCATTCACCCAGGTTCAACGGGCAGAGGGTGAGCGGCGTGGAGACCTACCCATAGGCGCACCACCAATGGCTGGACACCCTCCTCAACCTCCCAGCCGTGCACCAGCGCCGCTCCTTCACCCCTCTGCACCGAACCCCACTCCCTCTCTCCCCAACCCTACTCCTGGCAGGTTCAACGGGGAGAAGGTGAGCGGCATGAAGGAGACCTACCCATGGGCGCTCCACCAGTGGCTGGACACCCTCCTGGACCTGCCAGCAGTGCGGCAGCGCCGCTTCCTCTCCTTCCACCAGGCCACGTCCCCCGTGACCAACGCGCTGGGCTCTCTCGTGTTCCTGGGCACGCCGTTCTACATCAAGAAGTGGCAGCGCCACGGCTTCGCGCGCATGCTGCTGTCTCACTCCCCCCTGCTCCCCTCCACGCCCCTACTGGCAGGTTCAACGGGCAGAGGGTGAGCGGTGTGAAGGAGACCTACCCATGGGCGCACCACCAATGGCTGGACACCCTCCTCGGCCTGCCAGCAGTGCGGCAGCGCCGCTTCCTCTCCTTCCGCCAGGCCACCTCCCCCGTGACCAACGCGCTGGGCTCTCTCGTGTTCCTGGGCACGCCGTTCTACATCAAGAAGTGGCAGCGCCACGGCTTCGCGCGCATGCTGCTGTCCGTGGGGGTGGGCGTTCTGCTCACGTACCTCTTCATTCTCGCGTACACGGCGTTGTGGGAGCTGCTCGTGCTGCTCATGGCTGGCAGGCCGCAGGAGTGAGTGCTTTGGAGTCGAACAGTGCTGTCAGTTGTACCCGTGATTGTGTGGGGCTGGGCGGGCGTGCTGCTGTCCGTGGGCGTGGGCAAGCTGCTCACGTACCTCTTCATTCTCGCCTACACGGCGTTGTGGGAGCTGCTCGTGCTGCTCATGGCGGGCCGCCCGCAAGAGTGAATGGCGTGGCTTGCAACAGTGCTATTGGTGGTGCCTGTGATCTGAGCATTGCTGTCAGGGGGGCCTGTGTATGTGTGCGGCTGTTGGTGCTGCTGGTTACACATGTTCCCAGCATCGCGCATCCTCTTCGCAGGTCTTTCTCCCGCTTATCGTGCACTGTCAGACTCTCCCCTTCCCCACATTTTCTCCTTCCCAGCCCCCCCCCGTCGTCCCTCGCCCCAAGCCTATTCTCAGCATGACAACATTGATGGTTACTCTTCTTTGTAACCTCTCAACATTGATGGCTACTCTTCTTTGTAACCTCTCAACATTGATGGTTACTCTTCTTTGTAACCTCTCAACATTGATGGTTACTCTTCTTTGTAACCTCTCAACATTGATGGTTACTCTTCTTTGTAACCTCTCAACATCACTCCGTCTTCGCCACAAACCCTCTAGGGCCATTCATCCGTGTCTATTTCACTCCCATCCCTCCTCTCCTCACCTCCTCTCCATCCAAATTTTTCCCCTTGCCTTCCAACCCCCCAGGTTTTACTTGGAGTCAGGCCCTCACCTCATCCTCCTTCTCAGCTGCCTCATCGCCACTGCCACCATGCTGCTCGTGCTCGTCAAGCTTTGGAACGTCTCAAAAGGCCCTCCTCTCCGTCCCACCGTTTTGCTGTGTCCCCTCCCTCCCCTCACTCGCAGGTTTTACGCGGAGTCGGGCCCTCACCTGATCCTCCTTCTCAACTTCCTCATCGCCACGGGCATCATGCTGCTCGTGCTCGTCAAGCAGATCATGGACGTGAGTGTCACGAGGTGTGGGTGTAATGAGATGTGTTGGTCGTGGCACTACAATGGATGTGAGTGGGAGGGCAAAGACACGGGCATCATGCTGCTCGTGCTCGTCAAGCAGATCATGGATGTGAGCGTAGTGAGGTGTGGGTGTACATATATTGAGCACTATGTGCGATCATATCCTATCCGGGTGCTACTAGTGGATCACTAAGGGTTTGTGTGCCTCTGTGTGGGAGCTCATCCACACAGGCATGTTGCCAGGGGATGACATTTGAGTCGACTCAAAAACCACACAGGCATGTCGCCACGGGATGACTTTCGAGTCGACTCAAAAACCGCACAGGCATGTCGCCACTGGATGACGTTTGAGTTGACTCAAAAACCACACAGGCATGTCGCCATGGGATGACTTTTGAGTCGACTCAAAAACCACACAGGCATGTCCCCACGGAATGACGTTTGAGTCGACTCAAAGACCACACAGCCATGTCTCCACGGGATGACTTTTGAGTCGACTCAAAGACCACACAGCCATGTCGCCACGGGTATCATGCTGCTCGTGCTGGTCAGCAGATCATGGATGTGAGTGTAACGAAGCATGGGTGTATGGAGGTGTGAGGGTGCCCAGGTGTGAGTGTACCGAGATGTGGTTGTAGGGAGAGTGAGTGGTGGATGTTGGTACACTCACAGAGAGGCAGGAGAGATTGATGGCATGGCTGTGTGGTTGCCCTCCCACTCACATCCATGGTAAAACTACCATCAACGCCAAAATACCACCCTTCCACCCCTCTCCACCCTCCCACCCCTCTCCACCTTCCCGCTTCACCCTCCCAACTCACTCGCCATCTCATATTCCCCACTCTACTCCTCATCCTGTCACCCTCTGCGCACCACTGTGCTCATATACCATCACTGTTGGATCAACCACCACCCATTTTGTTCTCCGTCCCTCCTCGCCCCACCCACTCGATCTCCTCATGCCTCTCTGCTTCCCCCCTCCAGGCCACGAGCAACACGGTGCTACACAGCAACACGGTGCTACACAGCAACAATTTCTGCCACAACTCCTTCGCTCTCCTTCGCCACTCATCCGACTTTCTCTCATCCTCCCCCTTCTCCCCTCCTCCCCCTGCTCCCCCCCCCCAGGCCACAGGCAACACAGTGCTGTACAGCGGCAACCTCTACCACAACCCGGCCTTCGACTGGTCGCCTGCCATGTCCGCCCTCGTCATTCACGCCGGCAAGCTTGATGAGGTGAGTGCGCCACCCCCTGCCACCCCCTGCCACCCCCATTCGTCCCCACCCTCGTTCACTCACCAGGCGAGTGCCCGTTGACTGGTCGAATAGCATATCACGTTTCCCACCTTCCTTCACTGTTTCTCCTCTCCTCACCTTACTCGTCTCTTCATTGCTTTGCCATCTCTCGAATGAAACACCCACCTTCCCCCCCACTCCCATTCCGCCTCTCATTCCCTGCCTCCCTTTCCTCTCCTCCCCTCCCCCTCCCTCCCCCTCACCGTTCCCTCTTCTCCTCCTCCCCCCAGGCGAGCCTCGCGCTATCCATGGAGCCAATCACGCGAGCCTACGTCTTCCCGCACCTGACAAAACTCCTGAAGCAGACCCCCTGGGCGCCGCTCCCCAAGGCACCCACACGCTACGCCCCCCAGCGAGTGTGGTGCGCGTTCCTCTTCCACTGCTCCGTTGTGCTCGTGTGGGACGTCCTCTTCTTCCTCCCTGCAGCCATCTTGTCTCTCTTCTCGCACCTCATCGCGCCGCTGGTGACCGGGTGGATTCAGCAGGCTGTGGTGGCCGTCAGCTTTGGGCTGTCTCCGGGGGATTTGAGCTACGCGTATGTGTATGTGGACGAGAATCTAGACATGGAGCTGGCCACTCAGCAAGTCGATCACTGGAACGTGCAGGTATGTAACATAGAAGGGTGAGCTCATGTGGGATGGGATGAGCAGCTTGGTCTGGTTGATGTACCGTCACTGCCACCCACACCTGCGTGAGCTACGCGTATGTGTATGCGGACGAGCCTCTGGACATGGAGCTCTCTACCCAGCAAGTTGACACGGGCAACACGGGCTGTCTCCCGGGGAACTGAGCTACGCGTATGTGTATGCGGACGAGCCTCTGGACATGGAGCTCTCTACCCAGCAAGTTGACACGGGCAACACGGGCTGTCTCCCGGGGAACTGAGCTACGCGCATGTGTATGCGGACGAGCCTCTGGACATGGAGCTCTCTACCCAGCGAGTTGACCACTGGAACGTGCAGGTGTGCAGGATGGAATGGGGGGGACGAGCAGCTTGGTTTGGTTCATATCTTGTTACTGCAAGCCAGGGGACCTGAGCTGCTTTTGAGTCGACTCAAAAGCCAGCCAGGGGACCTGAGCTGCTTTTGAGTCGACTCAAAAGCCAGCCAGGGGACCTGAGCTGCTTTTGAGTCGACTCAAAAGCCAGCCAGGGGACCTGAGCTGCTTTTGAGTCGACTCAAAAGCCAGCCAGGGGACCTGAGCAGTAACACTGGCACTGGCAGTGTTACTGCAAGCCAGGGGACCTGAGCTACACGTATGTGTATGAGCATCTAGACATGTAGCGCAACAAGTGGATAATTGGAGTGTGCATGTACGGAACTTGGAAGCGCGGGGACATGTGGGGCTGGTAACAGGGAACGGTGGGAACGTGCAAGCTGGTTGGGTTGGTATAGGTATTACTGGCACGCAGACCTGCTTGATCTACGTGTATGTGTATGTGGGCGAGAATCTGGATATGGAGCTGATTTTCCCTCACCCCTCTCCCCTCCCCTCTCCCTTCTCCCTCTTCCTCAGAAACTTCTTGCTGAGGCAAAGTCCAAGCCACTCAAAGGCGAGCTGATTTTCGTTCCCTCTCCCACCCCTTTCTCCCCACTCATTCTCCCTCCTGTCCCTGTCCCCCATCCCCCCCTTCAGAAACTCCTGGCGGAGGTGAAGACCAAGTCACTCAAGGGCGAGCTCATGCCCGGCTATGAGGACGACCCTGTGGAGCAACCCGATTGGCTGGAGCCAGTTCTCTCCCTCACTCCCTACCACCCCTTCTGCCCCCGTTGCTCTCCTCCTCATCTCCCCATCTTCCTCTCTCCCTCTCTCTCCCCCCCCTTCAGAAACTGCTGGCGGAGGCAAAGACCAAGTCACTCAAGGGCGACCTCATGCCCGGCTATGAGGACGACACTGTGGAGCAACCCGATTGGCTTAAGCCAGTTCCCTCCCTCCCTCTCTCCCACCCCTTTCTCCCCCCGCTGCTCTCCTCACCATCTCCCCATCTCCCTTTCTCCCTCTCCCCCCTCCTCAGAAACTGCTGGCGGAGGCAAAGACCAAGTCGCTAAAGGGCGAGCTCATGCCCGGCTATGACCCATCTCTTATCATCACCCTCCCCGTCTCACTTCTGACCGTCACCATATCCCACCCCTTCCTCTCTCAGAAACTGCTGGCGGAGGCAAAGACCAAGTCGCTCAAGGGCGAGCTCATGCCCGGCTATGACCCATCTCTTATCATCACCCTCCCCGTCTCACTTCTGACCGTCACCATATCCCACCCCTTCCTCTCTCAGAAACTGCTGGCGGAGGCAAAGACCAAGTCGCTCAAGGGCGAGCTCATGCCCGGCTATGACCCATCTCTTTTCAACACCCTCCCCGTCTCACTTCTGACCTCACCATATCCCACCCCTTCCTCTCTCAGAAACTGCTGGCGGAGGCAAAGACCAAGTCGCTAAAGGGAGAGCTCATGCCCGGCTATGAGGACGACACCGTGGAGCAACCTGATTGGCTGGAGCCATCCCCTGCCGCCCATCGCCGTGACCGCACGCCTGTTTTTGACGGCAGCAGCACCGGCACTGCCACTGTGCAGCAGCAGCCCGAGTGGCTGAAGTTACCCCCTGCTGCCACTGTGCTATCTCCCTCTTGTGAGGGGGGTAGCGGAAGTGGGGAGGGTGGCGGAAACGAGGGGGGTGGCGGAAACGAGGGGGGTGGTGGAAGTGGGGAGGAGAGTGGAAACGAGGGGGGGTGCGGGGCGCCTCACAAAGCTCTGGCTGCTGCGCTGAGGAAGAACACACACAGTGTGTTTCGGAAGCGACGGGGTGCGCGAGGGCTGCTGCTGAGGCGCACTGGCGGTGCGAGGAGCAAGGAGGGCAGCAAGGGGGCTCGGCATGGGTCTCTGGCAGGTGGAACTGACACAGGTGGGGGAGAGGGAGACAGGGAAGGGGAGATTGACATTGTGGATGGGGCGGTTTCATCTGGTCCCGGCCCTGTTTCATCTCATGCTCCATCTGGTGCCGCCCCCACTCCTGCTGGCGCCAGTACAAGCACTGCCAGGGACCCGCGTGAGAAACTGGCCTTTGAGTTCCTCTGGGATGACAGGGAGCTCTCCAAACTAGCAGAGCAGTCGCAGACGTTCCAGCGCCTCAAGTCCCAGCTCCCCACCATGGGTCGCAACCCCCGGCTGAGCGACCGGGAGTTTGAGCGGCAGTTGCAGCAGCTGTGTGTGATGATTGAAGAGCGTGTGGGGGAGATTACAGGGCGGTGTGATTTGAATCACGGGGCGTATTTCCGGGATCCGAGGATTCTGAGAGTGGTGGCGCATTTTATTGAGAAGCGGGAGCTTCCGGAGTGGTCTAAGCATGTGGACGGGGATATATGGCGGTGGAACGAGCATTTGAATGAGGTGCACTCGCTGCAGCTGCTGCAGATGTCGCAGGGAGGCCGAGGAGCGGGAGGCGATGGAGGGGCGGAAGGCAGTGGGGCGTCTGTTTGTCCAGAGTGTAAAGGTGCTTCCGCTAGGCTGAAGACGCTCTTTAGGAGTATCCGGGGGGGGAGTCAGAGGGAGGGGGGCCAGAGGGAGGGCGGAGGGCACGGGTTTTTGAGTGGGCACGCAGTGCACTTTCCTCACATGCCTGATTTCGCCAGTGGCGCACGGAGCTTGCATCTACCGCACATGCCTGACTTGGCCAGTGGCGCACGGAGCTTGCATCTACCGCACATGCCTGACTTGGCCAGTGGCGCCCGGAGCTTGCATCTTCCACACATGCCTGATTTTGCCAGCTTTGGGCATCACAAGAGCAAGGCAGTGGGATTTGGCACTCCTGCTGCTGCTGGTGGTGGCACTGCTGCTGCTGCTGCTGCTGCTGTTGCTGCTGCTGATGCCGCTGCTGCTGCTGCTGCTGATGCTGCTGCTGCTGCTGCTGCTGCTGCTGGTGGAGTTTCACGAACTCCTGACAGCCACACGGAGAGGGCGGGCAGCAGTGGGCAGCAGGCACGGCGGCTGATGATGCAGCGATCAATGCCGGTCTCCCATATGTGATGTGAGAGAGGGACTGGTGGGATGAGGGTGGGGGAGCGAGGCCGCGAACGCATGAGAGCCACAGTGAGAGGGCGCGAATCGAGGGGCAGCAGGCACGGATGATGCAGCGACCCCTGCCCGCCTCCCATGCATGAAGTGCGAGAGAGGCTGGTTGGTGAGAGAGGACGCGGAAACATGAGAGCCACAGGGAGAGCATGTGCAGCAGTGGGCAGCAGGCACGGATGATGCAGCGGTCGCTGTCGGCCTCCCGTGCGTGAGTTACGCGAGGCATTGGTGTGATGAGGGTGGGGGAAGAGGAGGGTTTATGGGAGTGCAGATTTGCTGTCGCTGTGGGCCTCACATGCGTGATGCGAGAGGCGTTGGTGGAACGTGTGTGGGTGTCAGGAGGACTATGGGGGTGTAGAGCAGGGCTTGCGGTTCAGTGCTTGGTGTTGCGGTTCAGTGATTGATGTCGCGGTTCAGTGCTTGGTGTCGGCCTCTTTTTGAGGCGCCTCAGAAATTGTGATGGGAGGACAATGGGGGTGCAGAGAGGGGCTTGCTTTTCTGTGCTTGGTGTCGGCCTCTCATGTGTGACGTGCGGGACAGTGCTTGGTGATAGTGAGGGGATGACGTATGGGAGTGCAGTGCAGCGCGAGCTGGCTGTCGGCCTCCGGTATGTAAGGCGGGAGTGAAAGGCTCAGGTGCGGCTGGAAAATGAGAGTCAGAAGGGTCTGTAAGGGGTGCAGAGGAACGGCCGCCTGCTTCCTTGTAAGCTTATTGAGTTTATGTAGTATATATATCATAATTTAGTAACATTCTTGCAGCACCGTATATGCTCAAGTGCTATAAAATAACTGGACCGGATACTGTTACACTCACACCGTACCGCATTGATAGAATATGGAAACAGGAATGAATGAACTATGCAGGATGGGGATACAAGTAGTAAACCCCAAAAGGGTTGTCCCCTCTACAGTGTACCCCAGTATAGACTACAGCACTATAAGTGCATACTTTCACACACCCCCATAGGCTAAGTGGGGGACAACAAGCGGTCACAAAACCAGTCAAGCAAGAGAACAAGCAAATCAAAGCAAGGACCAGGGTGGATCTCAAGATCACCGCACATTATGAGCACAAGGCCAGTTCACATGCAGAGTTTATAAAAGCAATTGCAGTACTCTGATCACAACCTAGCAAGAGCAAACATGCATGTAAATCATATATACCAGAGTACAACAAGTGCAGAGTGGGCACAAGCCCAAGAGCAGTGCAAAAACGCTGATGATCACTAGACCCAAGGGCCTTGATGAAGACATCAGCAGTGTTGGCCTGTCTGGCCACGTAAGCAAGGCGAAGCTGACCACTCTGCTGCAGCTCTCGCGTGAGGATGTAACGGAGAGCAATGTGCTTCATTCTGTGCTCCAGTCACTGGTCCTGACACAAGGCAATCATGGCCTTGTTGTTGACGTACACAACTGGAGGAGAACGAGGCCGCTCACCCAAGTCGGTCAGCAGGTAGGTCAGCCAGCAGAGCTCCTGTGCAGCCATAGCCCTAGCGTAGATCTCGGCCTCACAGCTGGAACTAACTACAGAAGAAGAGTGAGTGGACCTCCACGAGACAGAACCAGTGCCGAGGCTGAAAATGCACCCCTGTGTCGACCGGTGAGTCGTCTGGTCGTCAGCCTAAGAAGCGCCTGAGTGACTGGTGAGAACAAATGAATCCGGTCCTCCAAGCACGAGCCCCACGCCCGATGTACTGCACAATTAACACAATACCCTCTTTGCAGCATACCAGTGCATCTTTCGATGTCTACGGGGAGCCACGTAGCGAGCGAGGAGGCTGAGAGGGTACGCGAGGTCAGGTTGTGTGCACGTCATCAGGTACATGAGGCAACCCACAAGCTCTGGGTACGGACCACTCGGCTCTACGGACTCGTCCGAAGGTAGAGCTGAGAGCGAGTGGCCGCTAGACAGAGGAGGGGGCTGTGGCGAGGAGAACTGGAAGCCGAAGCGCTGAAGGACCTGATGCACCATGTGTGACTGAGTCAGTGGGATGGTGCGGCATGCTCTGTCCCGGGTGATCTGCAAGGCAAGATAGCTGCGCATCTCATCTAGGTCAGTGCAGTTGTGTCTCTCCTACAGCTCCGCCTTCATGTGGGCCAGTCCAGCAGTGTCAGCACTAGCAAAAACCAAGTCGTTGACGTACACAAGAATGTAGAACGGCGGCAAAGAGGTGTCTGTACGCAGAAACAATGCAGGGTCAGCAATCGAGGGGGCAAAAGCAAGAGCCGCAAGTGTAGTCCTCAGTCTGTCGTGCCACTCGCGGGGCGCCTGTTGTAGGCCGTAGACTGGTCGCCGAAGACTCCACTGGGTACCCTCAGGAAACGACCCAGTGAAGCCACGTGGACGGTGCAACCAGATAGCCTCGTGAAGGCTGCCCTACAGGAAGGCTGTCGAGAAGTCGAGGGAGTGCATCTCGTAGTTGCGCTGTGCTGCAACATGCAATAGCACCCAAAGAGTGGTTATCTTCGGGGTGGGGGAGAAGGTCTGAAAAAAGTCGACCCCCTCACGCTGACTGAAGCCTCGTGCAACGTAACGCACCTTGAAGGCAGGCGGAGAACCCGGCGGCCGCTTCATCCTGAAAATCCACATGCCATCGACTATGTTCACCCCAGGTGGGGGAACCTCGTTGACGTAGGTGCCTGTGGACTTCCACGAAGCCATCTCTGCGTCCATGGCTGTCTGCCACTGAGAGGAGTACGGACCCGTGATCGCCTCTGCGTAAGTGCGTGGGGTCGGGATGTCCTGTGCATCGGGGTCTCCCTCAGGGCAAAGTAGCGTTGACGCGAGATGAGGTGCAGCGGCCGCTAGGCACTCCAGCTCAAACTGCCTGTCCTCAAGGACGTCACACCCAAGGGCATGCTCACCCTCGACGGATGGAGGACAGGAAGAGTAAAAGACAAGACTCGCAGCGTAGTCAAGGCGTCACAAAGCGGCGAAGTCAACAAGCTCAGCAACCAAGGCAGACGCAGCAGCAGACTCAAAGGAAGGTCACAGCTTTGGCAAGGAGACAAGTGACAGTCGGACTGGCAGCACGGACAAGGTCAGACTCAGGGTCAGGAACATCCAGAAGAGAGGACGCGGGAGGCGACGGCAGGACAACACGCTGTGGAATAGAGGAAGGACGGAGTGTCATATCGTGAGTGCCCGGTACATCCGCAGCACGAGGACGACGAACACGACGAATACGAATAGGGACAGAAGCTATAGTCTCAGGCTCTCGATGCTCAGGAGTGGAAGCACGAGTCGCAGGCTCACAACGCACAATCAGGGACGCATTCACCTCAGTGTGAAGAGCAGGAGCAAGCAGCGGGGAGCCAGGCTGTAGCTGTGGCTGAGAATGGTCATTCGGTGGGAACAGTAACGGGGGAGTAGTACCAGGAACCGGGAACTCAGTAGCAGCAGGCGGGAGACTGAGAAAGCAACGAAGCACAGACAGCTGCGGCTGAGTAGTTGCACCCCCAGAACCTCTAGCTCTAGTAGCAACAGCACCCCCAGAACCAGTACCTCAGTAGTACCTCCAGTATCAGCACCGCCAGTACCCCCAGTAGCACTTGTGCCTCCAGGACCAGTACCTCCAGCACGGCTAATGTCAGAACCAAGAGCATGAATGGGATAAACTATGAGAGTGCTGGGTACAAATAGAAACCCTAAAGGGGTTGTACTCCATATTGGCTACCCCACTACAGCCTACATATCATACTATAACATATGTAGTTTGACACACCCCCATAGGCAAAGTGGGGGAGAACAAGGGGTTACAAGACCAGTCAAGAAAAGCAATGCAAGCAAAGGGTGGATCACAATGTCACCACACACTCCGAGCACAAGCAAAGTACCACAAGGCCAGTTCACATGCAGAGGTATATATGTGACAACAACAGTACAGTGATCACTACCTAGCAAGAATAAGCATGAAGGTATAAATGTATATATATATATATATATCACAATACAAGCAAAGTCTACAGCAAATGAGGAAACATAGGCACCAGGCCTAGAGCAGTGCAGAAGCGCTGATGATCACCAGCTGGAAGGGCCTTGGTGAACAAATCAGCCGTGTTGGCCCGGATAGGCACGTGAGCGACACAAAGCTGACCACACTGCTGCAACTCTCGAGCAAGGAAGTAACGCAGAGCGATGTGCTTCGTTATGTGCTCTAGTCTGTGGCCCTGACACAAGGCAATGGCAGCCTTGTTGTCGACATACAGAACTGGAGGAGAACGAGGCCTCTCTCCCAAGTCGGTGAGCAGGTAGGTGAGCCAGCGTTACTCCTGTGCAGCCATGGCTGTGGCGTAGATCTCAGCCTCACAACTGGAGCTGAGAACAGAAGACGAGCGTGTAGACCGCCAAGAAATAGAGCCGGAGCCAAGGCTGAAAGTGTAACCCTGTGACGACCGCTGTGTAGCCAGGTCGTCAACCAAAGAAGCGTCTGAGTGCCCAGTGAGGACAACTGAACTCTGCCCTCCAAGCACGAGCCACATGCCCAATGTACTGCACAAGCATCGTAATACCCTCTTCGCAGCTTCCCAGTGCACCTTTTGGTGCCTACCAGGAGCCACGTAGCGTGCTAGAAGGCCAAGAGGGTACGCAACGTCAGGACGAGTGCAGGTCATCAGGTACATTATGCAGCCCACTAACTCTGGGTACGGACCACTCGGCTCTACGGACTCGTTTGAAGGTGGAGCTGAGAGGGAGTGACGTGTAGGCAGAGGAGTGGACTGTGGCGAGGACCAAGTGAAGCTGAAGCACTGAAGGACCTGCTGCACCATGTGTGACTGAGTCAGTGTGATGGTGCGACGTGCTCTGTCTCGGGTGATCTGCAAGCCAAGGTAGCTGCGCAGTTCACCCAGGTCTGTGCACGTGTGTCTCTTTTGTAGCTCCGACTTCACAAGGGCGAGAGCCTCAGTGTCAGCAGCGGCAAAGACCAAGTTGTCGACGTACATGAGGATGTAGAA